GGTGCGGAAGTGATCCATATTATTTACGTTTATTTACAACAATAGTAATGTTGTTAATATTGTACTTGTGGGTGTTATGCTTGGTGTAGTTTGGATTGTAGTTATGAATAGGTGACTTGTGCGTGGGCTTGTAGTTGTGGTTGTAGATGAGCTAGTAGTTGTGGTTCTAGTACTTGGAAATAGTGCTAGTTGTAGTAGTGGTATGTTGGAGGTCGTACTTGAGGGAGGAACAGGTGGTGGAGGGGGAGAAGACCGAGTAACGTGCCACACGGCCATCCTTCCTCATTCCTCCCGCCTGACAGATGGTGAGCTGCCGCCCTCCCCTCCCTCACACCGCCCTCCCCACGCCCTCCCCCTCCCTCACACCGCCCTCCCCCCTCCCCGCCCCCCCTCCCTCACGCCGCCCTCCCCCCTCCCCTCACGCCGCCCTCACCGCCGCCCCCTCCCCCCCCTCCGCCCTCCCCCCTCACCCCTCCCCCCCCCCTCCACCCGCCCTCCCCCCCTCCCTCCGCCCCCCCTCCCTTCCCCTCCCCTCCCGCCCTCCCCCCACACCGCCCTCCCCTCCCCTCCCCCTGCCCTCCCTCCTCCACCCTCCCTCCCTCACCACCCTCACACCGCCATCCTCTACCCCATCTTTCCTCAACCTACGGTTAACCCCGTGAAGGATCTATACTTAAGCTCACCAAGATCCTACACTTAAACCAGACCTAACCCCCCACCACCACCACCATCATCATCATCATCGAAGGGGGCTTAATGTTTCATTGTCCGTCCGTCCGTGCGTGCATCAGTCCGTCCAGTTAACAATTTCTTTCACCAGGGCGGGACGAGGTGGCTACTTGGGTTTTACACCCCAGGAGATACGGTTAACAAATTTATTGGCAAAGCTTATAGTACAGTTTGCCCATTCTGAGTAATTCAGTCGGGTCTTGACACTGAGGGTGGTATCACTTCTCAATGCCACGCAGGGCAGAGGTTCATATAAGAGTACATTAGAAGTCATATTCTATTTGGGGACTAATCAGTATGGACTAGCAAATTTTGGTTAAACAGCAAGAATGCCCTCAAGCACTCCTCATTTAATGTAATAATTACAAAGTTCATGATACAGGTGGCCTGAAGTTTTTGACAGTGTCACATTCAATAATACAGTATTCAGATGTATGCTATAAAGGCTTATCACAAAGTTTACATGCTGAGTATTCCGGTATGGGTACAGCGGTCGGGAGAGAGATAAAAAATTTTAGCAGTGAAGGGTGAGACTCGTATATTTCGCACACACACACACACACACACACACACACACACGCGCGCGCGCGCGCGCGAATTTGGCCACAGTGTAAACCAGATTAAATGGTTAACGCTTTGTTTTTTTCTCCAACATGTTACAACAAGTAACATTCTCTGTCTGTGTAAATTATCTGTGGTGAATCACCCCGCCTCAGTGACTCCGCCGCGCCAACAAGAGCGTCTCGCATCAGCTGGTTGGAGCAGAACAGTTCCTGAGAGGGAAGCAACACGTAACTGGACTGACGACGGGTTCTGTGATAGGAGTCTCACAGTCACGACAACACCACGACCAGATTATTATTAAACCCCTAAAGAGAGAGAGAGAGAGGGGGGGGGGAGGCTGGCTGGCTGGGTAACATTAGGGCCTGCCCTTGCTCTACCCAGCCTCCTGCCCCAGGCCACCACCGCCATAACACAGGAGGCTGACGATGCACCGTCTTCATTCACCCCTTCCCTCCCCCCCCCCACACACCTGCCGCAGGTAACGGTACACCCCGGCTCCAATATATACACTCACACCCACCAGCTCTATCTCTTTATTCCCTTTCCTTATCTCTCTCTCTCTCTCTTTCTATCTTCTAATTATCCTCATCGCCCTCCCTCTCTATTTCTCCTCTTGCAATATATATATATATATATATATATATATATATATATATATATATATATATATATATATATATATATATATATATATATATATATATATATATATATATATATATATGGTGGTGCTAGCTGTGGTGGTGGTAGTGAAGCTGTGTGTCTAGGATCACCCTGACAGTGGCACCTTGAAAAAAGAAAATAAACGTTCTTGTTCACACAACGGCGTCAGTCTGATCCTTCTCCAGGGAACACGAGAGACCGTAAGCTTACCTCACTAATTACCCAGGTTGTGCAGGTAACAGCCAGCGTGAGGGTAGGTTACCTCGTTAACGCTCGTAACAGTGTCGCTCGCTAGCCATCAAAAACATCACCGCATGAAAACATTTAATGATAACATGACGGACAAACATCCTCTTCAACAACAACAACCACCACAATAATTATTATAATAATAACAACAATAATAACAATAGCGACAACAAAAATAACAATACCAACAAAAATAATAATAATAATAACAATGATAATAATAATAAAAAAATAACAATGACAACAACAACAACAACAACAACAACAACAACAACAATAATAATAATAATAATAATAATAATAATAATAATAATAATAATAATAATAATAATAACAATCTTAACAACAATAATACTACTACTACTAATAATAATAACAATGATAATTTGTTTCATCAACCCGATTCTCGTACACAGTAAATTGTTACAGACGTGATACTTGAGGTTAGAATTACTAGTGAGAAGACCAATTAGAGACTGGTGGGTGCTGGGTAGGTGGGGATGAGAGTTTCGGAGACACAGTGAGGAAAGAAAGAGAGGAGGAAGAGAGAGCACCCATTACAAGCAACAGAGATTGTGAGAGAAAGGGAGGAGGAGACAGAGAGAAAAAGAGAGAGGAGAGAAGGAAGAAGAGAGGAGGAGGAGAAGGAGGAAGAGCGCCACACCACGACGATCTCTCCCTCTGAGTCAAACTTATCATGGCAGCTCGGCGCCCCGTCAGGGACAAGCCTCCGACCTCCCCACACCACACACTGTCTACTGTACCACCTTAGGGAGCAGAGTACAGGGGGCAGGATACAGGGAGCAGGATACAGGGAGCAAGGTACAGGGAGCAGGAGGTACAGGGCAGGGGTGCAGTAGGATAATACAACAGGTGCAGGAGTAGCATGGTACAGGGAGTAGGATACAAGGAGCAGGGTACAGAAGAGCAGGGTACAGGGAGCAAGGTACAGGGAGTAGGATACAAGGATTAGGCTACAGAAGAGCAGGGTACAGGGAGCAAGGTACAGAAGAGCATAGTCCTAAGGTATAGGGTACAACAGGGTAGACGTAACAAACAAAAGGTGGTTGATCTTAAACACAAAGCATCAGCTGTTACACTGAGTCAAGGTTCACAAGACATGACAGGTGCAGTAATATAATGTACCTGTAATTTATGGCTCCCAGTCTCAGGTGTACACTCCAGCTGTCACGAGTCATATCTGATTAACATTACTGAGGTCTGGACTGTTTATTATATATTTAGCTACTGGTGGTTGATGTTGTTAATGTAAAGAAGTAACTTAGAAGAACGTGTGTAAATAATAGAGGGTAGGTTTGGTGTGAGGCTGTGTGTAGTGGAGCACAGGGGGAGGGAGGGAGATGAGGTAGTGTAGAATATACTGGTGTTATGTAGAGATCTGACAGGGTGCAGTGACTGATGTAGATGACTGTAGTACGAGAGGGAGTATGTTGCTGGCAAGACACAACCTACATTGTAAGAGTTTGTTAGGATTTTCTTTCATTACTTATATTTATGTACAACAATAATATCTAGACTACACTGGAGCCAGGTGACCCGCTCTCCACTTACTAAAAGTCACATTCACGTTGACTTTTTGACCAATACATCAGCAAGAACAGATGTTACAGTTTTAAAAAGTGACCTTCACCGTGGATTACAAAAAAATTATGCTGCAATTACTGGAAAACATTATACTATATGTAGAAAGTAAAGTTGTCATACAGAAACGAAGAGACTCATGGCTTGGCTGAATCCAGTACCCACATAACGTGGTATCTGTGGGAGCAATAAACCTCATTAGTGGCGGATATTATAATAATACAACGCTTTATAAGTGAGGAGGTGTGGGGGGGCGAGGTAGAAGGACCACACACCATCTGGCGTCTCATGGTACAGTTACTCTCACCTCTGCTTCCCTCACTTACTCCTCTCTGTCATTGAGTCTGTCTTACTCTGTCTCAGTGGGTTAACCTGTCAATGTTACTGTAACTCTCTGTCAGTACATAATGTCCACAGTGATCCAGCTGATGTTTGGAGTTGAGCGACCAAGACAAATGCTAATGAACAAGAAGGTAAAACATATCTTTGTTAGTAACATTTTTACCAATTTATGATTGGCCAAGAGTTAAGATGGCGACCCATGATTACAGGAGATACCTGACCTTTTGTACATCTGAGTATACAGTACTGCAGTTAGCCATAATCCTTAGATATCTCCGGTAAATCTCAAGCTCGACCATACAGTATATTGTGGGACAATCGATATGGATAAGTGGAAGATGTCAGGCAGCTTGTCTACAACAAGAAGCAGACGAATATGAAATCCACACAGAATATAGAACGAGGAAGAGGAAAAAGATGTCTGGAGAAAAGACAGAAGATGAAAGCTTCTCTCTGCAACAAGATTGATGAAGCTCTTTGTTTTAAATGACTGATTGATCTCGGTAGGTGGGTGATCTTTGATTACCTTTAAGGAGTAGCAACCCTTTCTTATTAGTCAAGTGGAGAGGCAGCTGTAAGAGTAGGTTGGTGACAGGAAGGACATCCAGACATAAAACTTGCATCAAATTTACCTGATGGTAAGTGGAACACCATGTTATCAGGTAGTCATGGCTAACCCACCATGATGAAGATGATGTAAATGCCATATTAATTTGGTGATTGTTGTGTATGTTTTACGTTTGTTGTATGTGCTATATTATGATGTTTGTTATGGCTTATTAATATATAATTTGGTGTTTTTTGTAAGTGCTTATTTGATTGACTTGCTAATTTAGTTTTGGTTGTTGCAGGCTGAAAAGGCGAAGATGGAAGCAGAGTCAGCTTTTGAGGAGTGTAGCGATGCTGCCCGTCATGAGGTGAGCAGGACAAGGGACAGCAGTTAGTTTATTAAGACAGTGTAGGCTGACAGTTTCATCTGATACATCTCTACAGATAAACTGTATTTTACTAGCTCTTAAAAGGGTTTGGAAAAAAAAAGTACATTACAGTACTGTAAACGTATACTGTATATAAATTCCTAACACAAACTGTGTTGCCCAATCTTTATTAGTTTTCAAGGAATTATGGACCTTCTTTCCCAAAGGTTCCAGAATCACATTTGAGAGGTGTACGGATATCTAGATGACAAATAAAACCTCCTGAACCTAATACAGTAAATGACAAAACAAAGTTAACTCTCCAGAGGATGCTTGTCTGCCAAGTCAGTGGACCTTCTACACCATCTTCCTATCCTCCTCATTGTATAGTTGGCTTTTGTATATACTAACCATCTAGCATTAGGGCATACAGTATATATGGTAGTTAAAATGAAGGATTGACCCTGAATTTTTATTATTATTAGCAGACGCCAGAGGTGGGCAGCATGAACACCCTCCCTTAGTGTTTTAGTCATCTGCAACTGGAATACAGTGATGGGTTGGTTCTTGTACAGTATATAACTGCTTGGTGTTGGGCAGACTGTTACCAGTGCCCCTGTACTGTACCAGGAAGGATCCTCTAAGAAACAGCTAGCAACACTGTTAACATGTTTTGGGGTGGAATGTAGTTGGCTTTGATATAAGATTGCATTTTTCTTCCTCACTAACTTACATACAGGTTATAACTTCAGTTTGATGGTGACACAGTCTGTTCTTAATTAGTGATGCATGAGGGATAATTTGACTGGAGAATATATACAGTACTCTGGTTCCTGCGAGTCTTTCTTGTAACTTGTATTTGTAATTTCCAGATCAAGCACTTTCAGCGTCAGCGTGTGATGGAGATGCAGGGAAGTGTGGAATGCTACGCTGCTTATCAACTAACTTGTGCCCGAAGCACCCTCAACACACTCTCCCAAGCACTCAACCAAATCAAAGCCATAAATTTATAGGTTATAAAGGAACTTACCTTCCTGTCCAGTCACTTTCAGCCAAGCTCATCATCATGTCAGAATACCTGCAGGTATCTCTTGCTAACTACAACTGCACACTTCTTCTTATCTCATTGTCATCATTTCAAAGAAGTTATTGAGCTTATTATTGATCCAGTGATCAGTTTCAACCAGAGGCTTAATTAGCACTAAATACTGTACATCATAATGTAAGTCCTGTACAGGTACCTCATCTCTTTTTTGTAATGTAATACATTTTTATTTCTTCAAATTACTTCTTCTCTTTGTATAAAGTAAGTAAGTACCTCCACTGCCCTCAAATCTGACACATAGTTATAAAGAAATGCAACCAATTATAATGTTGCAGATAATGGTTGTTGTGTGAGAACACATATTTTGTACTCCTCCAACAGTTGTGAGGAGCAACAACCGTCCATCAACACTGTATGAGGGGATGACTGTGAGATATTAGAGAATACTGTACTGTAGGTAAGTATAAAAACCTTCAACATGGAAACACTGGTACTGTAAAGTATTTGTTGTAATACAGTGCAGTATATAATGTAATGTACAATATGAAGTGTTTTTATGTTTAAAGACATGACATTAGTGAAGACTGGACAGGGCTAAGAAACTGTCTTATTTGGGAATTTTATTACATCTGTGATTTTCATTATTTATAAAATAATTGATTCACGATAAACATGGATTTCCACACAGTGTGTGTGTGTGTGTGTGTGAGAGCTTCTGTATTTACTTTCACTTGTGTGATATTTATGTTCCTCTTCCACTGCTGTGCTGTCATGATTTAATAATGATATGAACAAAGCATACAGCACCCTGCCACTACTACAGGAGTTGTCCCCCTGCTGCTCCAAGAAGAGGACAGAGCGATGCACACACTACATGTGTGTCTGCGTCCATCCATCCATCCATCTGTCTGTCTGTATGGCAGTTGACAAAACAAAAACTCAAATAGCAATAGATCTGAACCAGACCTGATATGTTGGTACAGTACAATACAGTACTACAGTACAGTACAGTATTACAGTACAGGTATTACAGAAAAAAATCTCATTCATGTTTAATTATCAGCATTTTGGGTTGTTGTTGAGCAGAGTTATGGTCTGTTAGACATTACTGTGGCTCAGTAGGGGATATGGTCACCTTTAGTGGCAACATGGTGAGGGAGGAATTGTCCTTTAATAACAGTTGAGGTGAGTCTTAGAGGGATAATATGTTCATCTCAAGAAAACTCAATAAAATTGTCTTAATTCTAACATTTATTGAGCTTAAGGCTCAGAAACATCTGACTTATGGTAACCATCACCAAACAATTACTGTTATTGTTAGACTTCAATATTTACCTTCCATTAAGATAAAATTAGAAAATGTGATTTGGTGAGCATTTTGGTCACAAAAATTATGAATGGCAAACTATTATTTGAAGGGATTCTAGGATTAAGTTTCTGCTTCAACAATGTGACATACAGTACAGTACTGTGCATAGTTGGCTGCAGTAATGAAAAAAAGGTTCATATTGTAAATCCCTTTTCTTTTTCTTTTTGCTTTTCCTCTGAATATTTATGAATTATTAGTTCATAGACAAGCAAATTTATTTGAAAAAATCAAGTCTTTTGTAGTGAGAATTCATATCAACCCTAATTATGAATATAATACTGTACACTGTGCTATATATAAATTATTTCCATTTTACTGTTAATTGTTAATAGTTACAGGGTAATATTTACTTTACTTTACCTTGTTCGCCACTGATCAGCCCGTTAGCCACTTGCTCTCTCCGAGTGGTTACTGTACGAGAAATAGACCAATACAGTCATCAGTTTTATATGTAACAGAGTACTGTATGACACAGACTCATGAAACATTATTATCACAATTTATGGAACTTTATTTACAGTTACAAGTTTTATAATTTGTCAGCACTACAATATTTTCATCATCTAATGGCTGCCTTATAACACAGTTAGTACACTACACTACACTACATGTATTCCACTATTTCTACTTAATGTTGTAATACTTTATCATTGTGTTAAGGGATTTTTGCCAGACATTTAAAATCTTAGTTTATTTAGAATAATTTGTAAGGATATCCACAAGGGACAGATACTTTATATGTATCTTGTGCTTTGATCACAGGAAGCATTGCTTAGTTGTAGCAGTTGTTGTTCGTGTCAGACTCTGGCTGACACACGCAACAATGGTGCTTGAAAAAAAAAAATTCCCGTTCGTATCCGTCAAAATAATGTTTACTGGGGTATTTTTTTTTTTTTTCATTATTTGGTTTGAGATTAATTAAAACAAGAAAGATACAGGTACTTCATTCTGTATTTTCTGTTCAGTGAAACCTCTTTTTAATGGACAATATGGAGAGGAAAGTTCATTATATTGAGGGTCCGTTAGATGTGAAACTTCCATCTAACAGATTCCTGTATATGGGGAGAGAAGTCCGTTATATTGAGGTTTCACTGTATTAAAAACTGCTGATCAGCTCCAGAGTGCAAATTTATGATAAGATGCTAGTCAGGAATATCTGTCACATATATAACATATAAGAAACTTAAGTGCCAAAAAACCCAATCATTTGTAGATGAGCTGGTGGTTAGTCACAACATACTGTACAGTAGTCTTATTGTAGCGGGTTCATTCACAAGACTTATTAGTTGCCATTTTGTCTATCTACTTTCATAAAAATGCCAATAATTTTTCATGCTTGAGAAAAAGCTGATTTACTTTTGTGATTGTCCTAGTCGTATATGTTAACATGTTGCACGTCTTCAGCTGTCAAGTTTTTTCAAAACGAGAATCATAAATTTTGGTTCATGCAACACATACTCTATTGAGATTGATGATTTAAATTAAATTATTGGATATTACAGCAAACGTTAATGAATACACCTTGGCCATAACTTGTTTCACAATTTAGGACATAAGTGTTTGTTTGTCTATCTTAAAGTTCACAAGGAGAACAATGTTCCTGGAGAGTGTGAGGTCGCTTAAAAGAATGAAATTCAACATAAAGATCTTATCAAGGGAAAAATATACATGAAAGCAAAATATCAATACTGTACTGTATGATGATGGTCACTTAAGAAATAGAAAAACAAATGTGGTGGATCCAAACATAAGTGGATTTTGTTATCACATGAGTGAGCTGAGCACAGTTCTGTACAGTACTGTGAAGTTTTCATCAAGTTGATGAGCAGTGTGAGAGAATAAGTACATTTGTCAGTTATTTACAGTTCCACCTGACTGTGGTCATCTCCATAAAGAGAAAGAGTAAAGACCTCTGGTCCTGGGGAGGAGCTTTGACACTTCCATTCTCAGTACAATACTGTAATGTTTAATTAGTGATCATTAAATATTCAAGATTATGACCGGCCCTTCTAGCTGAGAACAAGTGAGCTGTTCCACCTCCATGTCATTGCTATATAAAAATCCCTCCCCCCCCCAAAAAAAATATTTATATACAGTATATATATATATATATATATATATATATATATATATATATATATATATATATATATATATATATATATATATATATATATATATATATATATATATATATATATATATATAAGATTAATTAAAATGAAGTGTGAGAACAGGTACAGTACAGTATAGTTTTCAAAATATACAAAAATAGTGTATGGCTCATATCAAGATTATGTATAAGGTAAATACTGTATTGCTGCTATTATTTATTTGTAAGTTGTTTCCCTTATTGGACGGAGTCATTCTTGAGGTTAATGGTGGTTAGATAAATGTTGTGCTGTAGATGTAATATGTGATTACTGTCAAGGATAAATGATTGTTGAGTTTTATTGTAAATTGAATGAGTTAATATGTAACATGTGGGAGCTGGAAAAGTGAAGAATGTACAGTGCAGTCTGACTTGATAGTGGTACAGTACAGTACAGTACAATACTGTACTGTAGTCAGAGAAATTTTAAGTAATTTTGCTCAGGAAAGAACTTTCCATGTTTCCACAGAGCGCTTGCTGTTTTCTCTCGCTTAGTGTATCATGTATCAATACAGTACAGTACAGTACAGTATACTATCTCTAGTTTTAAAGCTATGATTTATATATTAAAGACAGCTATTATCAATTAGTTTTAAAACAGTTGGTGCCATAACCAAGATTTAACTAGTTTTAATGGATATTGGGTCCTGGTACAGTACCCACCCTTAGGGTACCATATTACTTGTGACACTAGTCATACGTACACAGTTAATTCCTCTGATAATGTTTTCTGTATCACAAGTAGAAGCTTGGCTTCCTCTCATCATAAAGAAATATGAAGAAAAAACAAAAACAAGAAGTTAGCAACACCTGCAATCCCGCAAGTTAGTACATAATGTGTTTATTGAATCACAAAACAGCAAATAAAATTTGTGCATACTTTGTATTTTATATTATATATTAGTCACTGTATTGTGAATTGATAATTTTCTGATGTGATGGTGTTTTTTTTCTTTAAAAAAAAATGTCAGGTTGTATATGAAGGAGATGCCTTTGAGATCCATATATACAGTACTGCTAAAACCACCTTCTGGCAGAGTCTGCATCTGTCAGAGGGCATTTATATACATGACCTTGTGTTGCAGGCAGAGCTTTGTCACATAGAATTAGACTATACTGTAGTTTCAAGTCTCATTTGACCTAGTGATTTTATGAAGGGTCAGTGAGGCTTTATATTACCGGGTTGAAACCAAAGCACGAGTCTCCCTTATAGAGGATCTGTAACTGTGTGGAAGTACAGTGCAGTACTGTACTGTACTATAAGTTAGGTTCCCTTATTTCTGTACATACCTTTTTGGTGCCCTCTGTTGACACATAATATTCTCCAGTCTGTTCTTCACTAGTTTATAATCTCACAAGTTACTCATTGATGACTTCAAAGTTGTAAATGAGGGGAGGTATGGAATCCCATTAAATGAGGTGAAGGGAAGAAATGAGTAACCTGTCCTCTCCTCTCTTTCCCTCAGTAAAATTGACAGGACTATTTTCAATCAAGAACAATGGAGGGATCTTACACAGGCCACTGGCCTTTTCCCTTTGCCATGACCACCTCTAGTTTGGGTGACCATTAGGTAAATAAAAGTTGACAGGAATTAAGGAAGTAGGAATACAAATATCCTGTATCATGTATGGTCAGAGGGATTCAACGTGTGTTTTAACCGTTACCCAGAGCCTCACCAGTCCTTGTGACAATTCTAAATCAAGTGGAATTTGTGTCTATAAATCAATCCTGATTCAATTGGATGAGAAAGTGCTGCTTGCAACAAGTATAAAGTCACAACCAGTGGGTGATACAGTACTGTACAGTGTTATGGATCTTGCAGGTCATTTATCTCTTCCCCTAGTAATAAAAGGGACTTCATATATTACAGTAATCCTTAATTAATAATATTAGTGAAACTACATTCCATGGATCTGTAACAAGCATTTTTAAGTTTTGGTGCAGTTGTGTGGGCATAAGAAATACATAGAGGACATCCCCAAGTAGGTGACCAATGTTTGTAATTATCGGGGTCAGTGTGTTCCAGTAGCTAATATATTGTTGGCTACTGTGTTGTGCATATACAGTAGAGTACAGTATGTTTAGTTTGACTCCAGGGTTATGATATAAGCTACTGGCCTCTTTTAGGAGCTGCTCACATTGGCTAAAGCTGTTAGAAGTGTGCTAGGGATTGTATGTAATATTGAATTCCATAATGCATTGTTTTTGAAGAGCATTAGCAATAAGTCATAAGAATGTTCCCATAAATTATCACCAGCACTCAACATTATGTGCTACATCTGAACATAACATAACCGGCAGTACTGTACAACACTGAAGAGTTTTTGATAATACATTACAGTATAAGAAAATGACTACCAGTATCTCTACTTAAGCTATCTATCTACTTACACAGTACAGTGATTATAGTGGGATACCGTGGATCATTATGGAGCTGAATACTGATTATATTTGTAGAAGTTTGTAGCATTGGACAGTACAGTACAACCCCAGCAATGTCTACCAGCTTCATACTCTGGTGGACTTGAGTGGTAGAGTCTCGGCTGCTGGCTGTTCTGTAGTAGTTTACATTCCATTAGATTAGCCATTCACATTTACCTCATGTACGTGAAAGATAATTACTTGCCTTTCAAGACACTTGCCTTATGATGCCCCTATTGAGAAGGGATCAAACAGATGATCTTGCTTCTTTAATACTTATTTTATTTTTAAAAGCTTTTTGTATTGTAGTTAGGAAGCATATTTTGTGGGTTAAGTAAAAAGCAGTTTGTGTAAACACACCAGAAGAGTGGTGCAGCATGCGACAGCATGAAGTCAAATATTGTGTACAAGCTGTACCAAACATAATACAGAAGACAGTTTTGTGTGCAACTTTTACTAAAAAATAAATAATTTTTCAACCATGTATAGCAATTTGTTAGTATCTGTATTATCTTATAGCTTGAGCAGTTAATCATTCAAAATATTTATCATACATGTACAAATTAAGTTCCTATTATTTAATTACTTCTTTGAAGTTTTAATATATTAGAGGAATATATTTCATTTTTAATATTTTTGACTGTACTGTTGTAAGTTTTGATTTATAAACAACACTTATACAGTATGAATTATAATAATGCTGTCAGTTATTGTAAATCTCTACATTATGTCAGTCTACTTACTGCCTTTTAATGATGTTTGTACTTTTTTATCCCTTGAGAAAAAGAACAAAAAATACAAGAATTTTTTTATTTAAACAATAGGCCAATAATTACCTGTTTAACTTAAGCAAGGTTAAGACAAAAGATTAAATGGCAGTTGTGCAATTTTTCTGTTGCACATTATGCCCTTTTTTGTACTCAGTTCACTGTGTCCCATTGATGTGTGGAATACCTCTTGTGTGGTCTCAACCGAGTTCAAAAACCTGTCGTCTCAAAAATTTGCAGCTACAGTACAGTACAGTACAGTACAGTACAGTACAGTACCTTAGGTTATGAACATTAGTTATCACAAACTTCTTATGACTCGAGTTATATGATATTGTATGATAAAAACAATCAGCAATAAAAGCAATTGTTGAGCTATAATAAACAAGTCAGCAGCACCTGTTAATGATACAGGACTATACAGTACAATATTTAAATTCCAAGGAGAAATATACAGTACCAGTGCATTGTATAGGTTCCCATGTCTAATTGGTGTAATTTTTATATTCAATGTGCTGTACTAATTAAACAAAATCTCAGGTTGAAAAAACTGTTAAAGAACAAAAGTATTTTACCAGACCAGTCTATTATTTTGTTCATGTAAACTGCTTTTGGTTGATATTATACATCTACTGTACAGCATTAGGTGTGACTTGTGTACACTGGCACATCTAGCTGGTCATATGAATACTGTACTGGTATATAGTACAGTAATGGACTGTATGTTGCAGAAATACTGTACAAGCAGTCCCTGAGTTACGACCATCAGACTTACGATCATCTGCACTTATGAACGGGATCCCATTATATCCATGGCAAAAATATGCAATTAAAATCCCATTTTATACATTATTTTCATTCTTTATTGTTTAACATCACTTTATTTACAGTATTTACGTTATTTGTTATGTTTAGGATATTATTGTTGTTTTGTATGGGCAGGGTTGTGCTTTAACTTAACCTAAACTATGGAATTAACACTGTTCTGACTTACAAACAAATCGACTTACGATCAGGGTCCAGGAACATATCCCTGTCCTAAGTCAGGGACTGCCTGTATAGTATAGTACAGTATATACTTTCCAGGGCTCACTCCATCCTCTCACCACGTTACCAGTACAGTAGTAATCAAATGCCCTCTTACAGGATTAAAATTGAGAAAAAGCAAATAAAGTGATGAAGTAACACTACAAATGTGAAGTGACATAATCATACAAAGTTCAGTTTTGGGATACAATTCTTGTCAGATTCAAAACATTTCAAGTGTTGTCTTTGGCTGATAAAAGTTGTCATCAACTGTGGCTACACAATGTAGAATTTTTAACTCCAGTAACTACAGAAATATATCACTTAAGAAAAAACTTGTTTGTTTAATTTGGTAAATACAAATAAACATGATTACAGTACAGTACTAACCAAATGATTTCAATTCAACTCTCTGAGATTTTCTTTTAAGTTTTACCCACTTCTTTGTTGACAGCTTTAAGTCGCACCCATTTCTCTAACAACAAAAATAAAATATCAAGGTTTTTTATTTTGTCTATCATGATTTTAAATAAATAAAAAAAGTTTACTTACTGAGGAATGATTTTTGCCGAGTAAGGAGGATCACGGTAGCTATTAATCCTTATACAATTATACAGATAAAAGCTCTTCTTTACCGTACAGTATACTGTAGTAACTCTAAAGAAGGCAAACATTGCTGTACATGTTTAAAGGAATTTGGCAGCCTGGAAAATACAGTTAAACAGAATTTCTTTAAATATTAAGAGTTAATATTGTTCATTTTGAAACTGAGTATTTAAGAAAATTTAAATTTTTTAAACTTTATAATTTCATTGAATACATATCTGAGCTGAATCTCCCCCCCCCCCCTGTTACTGGTTCAAGTAAATTAATTTAGATTGATACAGTATGGCAGGATATGTCAGGAAGGATGTGTAGTTAATATGTATCAAGAGTCACTTGAGCAGCTTTGTTTTATTATGCCGTCTAATCAAAACAAACTAATGAGACTACAGTACAATCATACATTTCTTGACACTATAATTTGGTCATTGGTTTTATCATTCACTCTTGTTCAAGAAAAATTGACTTGAGTAACTTCATACTTTACTTTTACTTTTATCCTCTTCGCCACTGATCGGCTTGTTAGCCGCTTGGGCGATCGGTCACGTCTCTTTTCCTATATATTCTTCACCAAAAGGTCGGCTCGCTAGCCGCCCGGGCGATCGGTCACGTCTCTGTCACGCACTGTTGGCAAATACTGGGCATGCACCGGCTCCTGAATGTACCTGAACCCGCTCCAGTGTTGGTCAAGTCTTCTTGAAAGAGCTCACACTCGGTGCCGTCACAACACTCTCTGGTAGATTGTTCCAAGAGTTTACAACCCTCACTCCGAAAAAGTTTGCCCTCACGGTTTTCTGGATTTGCGGCTTCTTCAATCTTGAGCTGTGACCCCTTGTGGGCGAGCGTCCGCCAGCTCCAAGTAAGGACACTCAACTGAGTAGTGCCCCCTGAGATGCTTATAAACCTCAACTAGGTCCCCCCTTGCCCGTCTGTAGTATAAGCTAGGCAAGTTCAGGCGCTCCAATCTCTCAGGGTAGCTGAGGTGCCGAAGTGCAGGCACCAGTTGGTGGCCCTCCTTTGAACATTTTCAACCAACTGACAGTCCCTAGCATATCTCGGGGACCAGATGGGGTGACAGTACTCCAGATGGGGAAGCACTTCACTCCTGAAGATCGTCACGAGGGACGGACCGCCTAGATATCTGAACGACCTTCTTATAAGACCCAATAATTTATTTGCCTGATTTACCTTCTTCTCACAATGACCCGAGAACTTCAGCTCATTGTCAACATACACACCTAGGTCCTTCTCACACACAGTCTCAACTAGTACATTTTCTTCATCCCGTTGGGACATATGGTACGCCTCCTTACCGTTGGTACGCCCCAGGTGCATCCTCTTACACTTCGTGACATTGAATCTCAGCAGCATGAGTCTGTGTACAGTGTCTCAGGCAACCGGAGCTACCCTCAAGGCCTCTCTCACCTTACCTCCATTGTTTTACTTATATTGTTTCTAATTAACCAAGTGCTGACCCAAATTCGTAATGTCGGTTTTTAGGTTTGTCCTGTGTAAGTTAATATAATTGATTAATTTTCTTTTTTCTTAAGAGCCACAGATAATTGTCAGTAATATTACAGTATATCAAATAAAGCTACCTGGTAGTATTATGACCTTAGTAAATTCATAAACAGTTTTAACTAAATACAGTGGTATATATTCTGTGACAGTTCTGTAGTGAAGAAGAAAATAAACTTTAAAGTTAACATGAAACACATAGTTAAAGATTGGTGACTCTTTTTATTTCTGGTTCATGTAACGTAAACCAGCAGGTCTGACCCTGCCTGGTCTTATGAGTAAATTCTTAAGATTTCTGGGAACTTTTTAATCATAATAAAGTCAGCTTAAAGTGATGTATGCAGGTCCATTGCTAATCTTATGACAATTTTTTTCCTTCAGATTTAGCTACAGTATCATTCAGTTCAAATAATTACAGTACGTATATTCAATTAATATGGTGAATGTAAACTATATATTTTGAGAGCTGCCAGAGCTTTGAAAGATGTAACAGTGTCCAGTAAAGCAGTACAGTACTTTATCTGAAACCAGTAATTGCTATCCTTTACTACAAAAGATGAAAGTATTGTAAGTTTGTATCAAAGTGTTAATAATGCTTCTGATTTGTAATAAATTAAAATAAATGTATATACAGAAATATGGTTTTTTCTTTAAATTGTTGATCCCAATATATAATCTGCAACTCATGTCAGGAGAAACCATCCACTCAACACTCGGTCTGTGCCTTTCAGAGAGGACTCGGTGTTTAATGGCGATTATAGTGTCCAAGATTTCTACAAGTAGCTATTCTCACCCAGTTCATTCAGGGTCACTTGCGAGTACTGTACAGTAAACCCTTGATACTAGTTTTATCCCCTTCACCACTGATCGGCTCGTTAGCTGCTTGAGCGGTCGGTCATGCCTCTGTTACGCACTATTGGCAAGTACTGGACATGCACCGGCTCCTGAATGTATCTGAACCTGCTCCAGTGTTGGTCAAGTCTGGTCTTGAAAGAGCTCACACTCGGTGCTGTCACAACACTTTCTGACAGATTGTTTCAAGAGTTCACAACTCTCACTCCGAAAAAGTTACCCCTCACAGTTTTCTGGGCCTGCGGCTTCTTCAACCAGCTCCATGTAAGGACACTCAACTGAGTAGTGCCCCTTGAGATGCTTACATGTATATACCTCAATTAGGTCGCCCCTTGCCCGTCTGTAGTATAAGCTAGGCAAGTTCAGGCGCTCCAATCTCTCAGGGTAGTTGAGGTGCCGAAGTGCAGGCACCAGTCTGGTGGCCCTCCTTTGAACATTTTCAATCAACTGACAGTCCCTAGTACAGGGTATATATCTGGGACCAGATGGGGAAGCACATCACTCTTGAAGATCGTTATGAGGGACAGACCAGTTAGATATCTGAACGACCTTATAAGACTTAATAATTTATTTGCCTGATTTACCTTCTTCTCGCAATGACACGAGAACTTCAGCTCATTGTCAGCATACACACCTAGGTCCTTCTCACATTCAGTCTCAAATAGCTCGGCATTTGATGACTAGGAATTTCACATAACTCAGCATGGATATGGTCACGGAATGTATTGCTTGTATAGTATAACTCGGGAAATGCCAAGATATGTAAAATTTTCTAGGTAAACCTCGGCATATCTGGCCACCTGCACCACCTACCATACCTCTGTGCCACCTACCATGCATCTGAGTCACCTACTATGATGCTTTATTCGTCACCTGCTGTGCTGGTTAAGTGTTACTTTATTACATTTAGTAATTACAATGGGTCGATAATGTTTTTTTTGTTGCATTTTTGTAGGGGGAAAGTACCTAATAAGTCAGAATTTGGGATAACTCGGCAAGGCCAGAGCTCCATATGTGCCGAGTTATCGAAGGTTTACTGTATACCTCATTTGAAACAGTGGATGAATTGAAGTACAGTACTGTAGAATACCAGTAAGTGAGAATCCATTTGTGAAACTTGAAAGTGACAAAACAATGAGTGGAGAAGATTGTAATAAAATAATGTTGATCACTACAAACACAGACACCTTCGTACTGGCAGTCAGCCCTCGATATTTGCATTTGAAAGGCAACTCCAAGTGTTCCTATACAGTATATGCCACTGTCTTAGTTCCTACAGAATTTATTTTGCGTCTTTTTCCTATTTGGGGGGAAATTTTGAAGTCTTGTCTTTTTGGCTTAGTGGTGAAGGAGAGGCTCATTTATGGTAGTGGTGAGGATCAGTTGTAATGGTGGCCAAGAGGTTGTTGGTCCAGGGCAGAGACCACATCATTGAGGGCGTCTTCTACCAACTGCCAGCTGAGGACCAGAGGTCAATAAAGTTTAAGTTCAGGTCAGTGACTTACTGAAGGTTCAGTCTTCCTGGAATGTCTATGGCACTTTTGTTCTAATATTTGCATCCTATATTACATGATTAAATTAGATACATCCTTATATCTCCAATTAGTATTAATTTAATTTACAATATTCACAGCTGTTACTCATTCCCATGTTAAAATTTTCTCTTAACCATTAATACCGGAAGTCCCATTTAGTTACTTTATGGTACATACGACATTTAAATTTCCCATGATGAGAGCTTGTGCTCTGGGTGCAATCTGGATGACTATGATGATACCACCCTCCAAGGCCGAGTCAGCCCTATAGCACACACCCACTGTCAGCTTGCTTTTGTTTTGTTCTATCAAATCACACCAAATAGATTCGAATGATCCTCTTTCATTTAGCTCCTCATTACTGGTTACTGTCGGGTGTTCCTTGACACAGTAGTACACCACCACCTCTTGTAGCCGTGCCGACTCATGACCCACTGATCCCAATGATGTCTGGTTGTTCTTTGTCCGCATAATGGCTCAACACTTCAGTCTTATTAACTTGACCTCTGTCATTTGTGTACCAACACTTGATTGTCTCAGTTTCTAATACTGTACTGTATTGTCCTCTTTGAAGGCTTTGAGTCTTGAGGGTTATTAGAATCACTCGTGTTTCCCCTGGGGTTCTGTTCTCTCTGGCTTAGTATTATAGCTTAAAGCGACAACATACAGTATAGCATTATCTACAGGTAGTTTGTTTTGACTGAAGGGAGAGCTGGAACATTACTTCGACCTCCCACACTAAACTAACCAACTGTAAAGTTCGTAACATAATAAGACTGAACTGACACAAGGCTGAACTGACATAAGACTGAACTAACTTAAACCTGTACTGAAATAAATCTGCACTGACATAAGACTGAACTGACATAAATGAACTGACATAAATCTGAAGTGACGTAAAACTAAACTGTCATAAGACTGAACTGACATAAGACTGAACTGACATAAGACTTAACTGATACAAGACTGAATCAACATGGAGCTAATCTCTGGAAGAGTGGGGTAGGTCCTGGCGTCGGCAGCATTACCGAGGTTGGCACCAGTGTGGTACTCGTAGGTGAGAAGCAGCAGCAGATAGACCAGTACTAAGCCCAACACGGGTCTCGAGTAAGCTTGGTTTTACAGTGGTAAAATCAAGTTGGTGTCTCCCAGCGTGTAGAACTGTAGACAAATATGCGAGAGAAGTGAAAAGAAACAATCACGTGAGAACTGTAGACATTCAAGGGGCACTACTCAGTCGAGTGTCCTTACTTGGAGTTGGCGGACGCTTGCCCCACAAGGGGTCACAGATCAAGATTGAAGAAG